TTCCTAACCAACAGACTTACCTCAACTCCATGGCTTGTATTTTACACTGTTTTTCACTATACCATACTTCCTCCCTTGACCCTAACTGTTTAAGGAATCAGCCCATCACTACTACAAAGGCAATGACAGGAACGGGGGCTTAAGGTAACCATGTTGCAAAGCAGAAAACATCAATATTTTTTCAAATTACAATTTTTAAACTGTCAGCCAATTTAGGAAAAGAATTGCAAGATTATACAGGAACACACGCAATAAAACATTGAAAAATAAAATCCTTCAGAGGGCACAGTTGGGTGGTGATATTTGGTCTTTAAGAGTAATGTTTATCCCACTCACTATTTTTTAATTGTCACACTGTAATTACATATATTTATGGGGTACAATTTGATGTTTCAATACTCATATATGTCATGTAATTATCTAATTCAGGTAGTTAGCATATCCATCATCTCATGCAGTTATCATTTCCTTGTGGTGAGAACATTCAAAAGCCTCTTATACCTTGCTATTAACCACAGATACCCTACTGTGCAAGAAAATGGCAGAACTTACTTCTCCTATCTAACCGTAACTTCGTACCTGTTAACCAACCTCTCCCCATCCATCTTCTCCCAGCCTGGTAACCACCATTCTACTCTCTGCTTTTATAATATCAACTTTTTTTTTTTTAAGATTACACATATAAGTGGGATCATGCAGTGTTTGTCTTTCTGTGCCTGGTTTATTTCACTTAACATGATGTCCTCCTACAGGTTCATCTATGATGCTGCAGATGTGCCAGGCACAATGGCTCACACCTGTAATCCCAGTGCTTTTGAAGGCCCAGGAGGGAGGATTGCTTGAGGTCAGGAGTTCGAGATCATGTTCTTACAAATGATAGGATCTCATTCTTTTGCATAGATAAATAGTATTCTATTGTACACACATATATGTATGTATATATGTATATATATATCACGTTATATATCACATTTTCTTTATTTATCTCTTGTTGGACACTTGGGACAATTCCATATCTTGGCTATTGTAAATAGTGCTCCAATAAACACAAGAATGCAGACATCTCTTCAACATACTGATTTCATTCCTTTGAATATATACCCAGTAGCGGATTGCAGGATCATGCAGCAGTTACATTTTTAGTAGAACCTCCCTACTGTTCTCTACAATGGCTGTATTAATTTTCAATCCTACCAAGCATGCAGGTGTTCCGTTTTCTCCATATCCTCATCACCACTTGTTTTTCCCTTGTCTTTTTAATAACAGCCATTCTAAGAAAAACATCAATTAAATAAATAAGTAATAGCCATTTTAACTGGAGTGCAGTATTTCCTCGCGGCTTTGATGTGTCTTTCCCCGATGATTAGTGATGCTAGGCATGTTTCATGTACCTCTTGGCCATTTGTATGTCTTCTTCTGAAAAACCTCTATTAAGGTCTTTTGCCCAGTTTTCAATCCGGTTATTAGGTTTTTTGCTCTTGAGCTATTTAAGTTCCTTATTATCCCACTCACTTGAAGTGCTTCAGAAACCCTAAGAGAGGGGGCAGCAATGTTGTGTGTTCTTTGTACAGTCTCTCTCCCACACACTAACGTCACCTGCTCTTTGTTCTCCCAGAGCTGGCTGAACTTGTTACAAGAGGCTGGAGACTGTATCAAAGTGAACACTGTATAACTTTACTTCCTTTCCAGAGTAGCAAAATCACTTCTGCAAGCAGAAGTTTGGAAACATCTATGCTCTAACCTGAGGAAAAGATGGGTACCTCCCTAACAGTGCTCGGAGCCTGGGAGGTAGCAATGGCAGCCACATCTGTGCCTGCCCTTTCTGGCCAACAGAGAAGTTGGTGTGATGATCCTGCCCCCTCAAAAGAGAGAGCTAAAAAAAAACATGGGAGGAAACAACTGTGTTTCCCACCCATACCCCTCCAGCTTTCCATAACAGTCAGACTGCCAGGTAAACAGGAAGCCGAGAAGAGACAGGAGATGCTCCTATTTCAGGCAATCAGTCCAAAACACTGGGCCTCTACTCCCATCCAGCTTTTAAGAAAAAAGTGGGATCTGTCATTCATGCATATAGTCACCCATTCATTCATCCTACAAATGTTTCCTGAGCATATGTGCTGGGCACTATCAGAGGTAAATACCTGCCTATGATTTCACAATGAAGAAAATAAATAGGTATATTGTATATGAGAAAGTGAAAAGGAACTATGGAGAAAAATAAACCTGGAAATGTGAAGAGAGACAGAGTGTGTGTATATTCATGTATGTAAGCAGGAGGGCCAATTATAATCTTCAAGGAAACAAAAGCTGATAATATTTCTGAAGTTAGGCAATTCAGATTACTTCAACCACCAGACCTCCTCTCTCTAAACTCCTACTGTCTAACACAAATTCAGCATCACAATAAAGGAAAAGAGCCGTTTTTTTTATTACTGCTCTCTTGCATTTTACTTCCAATCCCTCTTACACCACCACTGCTTGCTTCCCTCCAAAGAAAAGTCTAGAACCCACCAGACTGTATCACTGTAGCCCCCACTGGTTTCATAAACTCAATCTAGGTTTTAAACTCTTAAATTACTAAAAATCTGCCACATTAGAATTCCATATTTTCCAAAACCACCACCACCAGAGCAGCCCTGTGTCCCACAGGTCTCGACTTGACAACAATCCTTAGTGGCCCCATGAAGACCAGGCCCCCACAGTACACGTGGTAGGTCCGCACTGCTTCATCAGCACTGGCCTCCCAGCTCAATGCTCAAAGGTAAAAGTGTCTAGCTGCAGATGTCATCCTTTCACAATCAACAGGGTCTCCAAGAAATATATCAAGTGTCCTCTGTCTTTTTGTAGACTTTTCCCCCTTTATGGTTGATCGTGTTGCCTTTAAGCATAAGAAAAGTCTGCACATCCACACTAAGTCCAAACCAAAGTAAATACTAAGGAATGCCAAAGCCACAGGTATAACAACAACATGGAACCTGCTTGACTTTGGAATGGAACAGGGAGGGAATTCACTGAGTTCATCACAGAGAGACTCTGGACAACAGAGTCAGAAACCCTCTGGACAGGACGCAGGCCTGAAGCCAGATCAGGCATCCTATAGCCAACTCTGCCCTCTGTGTCTGGACCCAACTCACCCATTAGACCAGGCATCCCCAAACTACGGCCCGCAGGCTGCATGTGGCCCCCCGAGGCCATTTATCCGGCCCCCCGCCGCACTTCAGGAAGGGGCACCTCTTTCATTGGTGGTCAATGAGAGGAGCACAGTATGTGGTGACCCTCCAACGGTCTGAGGGACAGTGAACTGGCCCCCTGTGTAAAAAGTTTGGGGACGACTGCATTAGACAGTGAATCAGCTGAAAGTAGCCGGCCCTCACCTCCTGCTCTCAGAACTCTTTCCAGAGCAGTGCAGAGCATCCCACATATGTGCAGGGAACTAAGTGAATGAATGTTTACGGGACAAACTGTCCTTAAGTTTCTCACTTCACAAATCTTAAGGCCTTGTCCTCACTCTCTACTAAATGAAACATTTATAGACCAGGAACCCTGTTAAATGCATCATAAATAAAGGTATACTGCCCTCAAAGAGAGGGAGAGAGACAAATTCCTCTTCTGCCTTTTCGCCTCCAATGCCTTTCCCAGGATACTACCCACCTTCATTTCCTGAGAGCCTGGGCACTAAGCACCACAGAGTGTCCCGGGGCCCAACAAGGCCACTGTAGCCCCTGTCTCCTGCACAAATCCCTCCCCTAAAGCTCAAAACGGCTTCTGGAGCAGGCCCACACGCTGCCCAAGTTGTCCAAGTTGTGCCTGCCACTCACCAGGACCACTGGTTACCAAAGCACCCTTCCTATCCGCCTCCATCCATAATCCTAACTACCCTCTGCCACTTCCATGGGGAACCCTGATCTGCCCACGGCTCTCTCCATGCAGCATCCTGCCAACTCCCACCCACTCACTGGGTCTCAGTTTAAGTCTGCCCTCCCCTAACCCAACAAGCCGATGGTTTCCAGGCGTGTTGGTACATCTACCAGATTCAACCTCAGAGGAGCCTTCCCTAGATGGTCTGAGAGCACAAAGAGCCGCCAACTTACCAGGGGACCTAACGTAGGTCCTTTGACCTCTCTGGCCTCTGTCTTCTCCTCAGTAGAACAGGAATGAGACAGGAGATCTAAGGTCCCTTTTATTCAGCTTCCAAAATTTTAAAGAAAAATCATACAGGTCCCCTAGATACAAATGAAAAAGTCTAACTGTTCCTTCACTGACCTGTTTAAACAGGTGTCCCAGCTACTGGAAGCTGGCATCAATTTCAAAGAGCTTTGGATCATAACTTCTAGGGGAAAAAAAAAATGCTGTTTTTTCATCAACTTCACAAGTCTTTGTTGTTTTTCTTACCATTCCCAGTAAGACACTGAAAGAGAGGGAAAAACTGACTTGTTCAATTTTTTTACTAAGATCACGAGCTTGGGATTCGCCCAGCCTCGGTTTCCCCTCTGGGCTCAGAGACGGTCCCCGCTCGCCGCGGCCTCCCGAGCTGCGCCCCGCGCGCACCGCCGCGCGCCCCCAGCCGCGACACCACCTGGAGCCTCGGGCGCCTCCAGATGGCCGAGTCCGGGCCGGCCAGGCCACCCCGCTGTCACCTGGCCCCGCACAACAGCCGCGCAGCTCCAGGACGGCCCCGCCCCCTCCGGCCACCCTCCAGCCGGCGTTTCTCCATCGATTCCTGAGCCGAGTCCGGCCTCTAGCTCACCGGGAGAGGCGGCGAAGACACCTGCCTTGCCCGGGAAAACGCACTAGCCCGGGAGCCCCTCGGCCACCACCTCGACGGGAGCCCGCGGGAGAAACGCAGAAAAAAGGAAAACAAGCCCGCAGCAGGGCCGTCTGGGCCCCGCGTCTCCCAGGAAATCGCCACTGGTGACGCAGCCCGGGAGCGGGGGCCGCGGGCCCGACGGGGAGCGAGGCCCCGGGCCCGGCCACCGCGCTCGCCCCGGCGTGCCGCTTACCGGTGAGGCGGCCGCCCCCCTCGCCGTGCCCGCGGCGCCGCTGCAGGATGAAGTAGCAGCTGCTCTTCTGGGTCACCCAGAGCTTCAGCGCATTCTTCAGCAGCACCTCCTCGGGCTTGAGCCACATCGCGACGGTCCGGCCGCGCCCGCCGGCCCCGGCTCACATCTCCCCGACCGCCGGCCGCTGTGGGCCAAGCCCACTTGAGAAGAGGCGGCGAAGGCGCGCGGGGACCGCAGCCCGGCCAGCGCCCAGAGCTCTGGAAGCCCGCGGAGCACAGCGGGCGCGCTCGCCCCGCGCACCCAGCGCAGCCCACACGTGGCCCCGCCCCGGGCCCGCCTCCGGCCCCGCCCCGGCCCCGGCCGCCGGCCCCGCCCCCGGCCGCCCCCACCCCGCGGCTCCCGCGGCGCCTCCCGGGTTTCCGCGTCCCAGCGGCTCCGGCGCACAGTTCCGGAGTGGAGGGAGGAAGTCCAATCCCGCGCCAGGCTCCCTCCGTCCCGCCCCGCCGCGCTCCCAAGGGGAACTTCGGAGAACCCGGGTCCCCGATCTCGACCTGAGACGTGGAGGAGGGACCGGGCAAAAGCCCTCCTCTCACAGCTGCAGGTTGCCCCACCGAGGGCATCTCTCGTGGGGGGCGGGTGGCCAAATGCACGCCGGAAAACCTAAGTTTGCTGGGTTTAAAACAGCAGCAACAGCAATTATAAATAACCAAAAAAGAGCATAAGAATTAAAAGCATTATGTTCCAACGTTTTTAATACTTGGTGAACATTTTGGATGCTCTCCCCGGGGATCCGACAGAGCTGTAGAGGCATCAGCGATGTTTGGGGATCCTAAAGAAAGCATCAGACCAGATTCAGCTCTGGACGTCCCTCGAGGGGCCAGGAGGCACCGATATTAGGGCCACCGCGGTTGATGCCCTGGCCAGAAATAAAACCTTTGTTCTGAGAGAAATTGAAAAGCTAGAAAATATGGAGTAGGCGATGTGAAGAGGTCAGGTTTTAAATGCGTAGTTCCTCAAGGATGTTGTGGAAGCAGACACACGGTGGCTGGCCTGGAGCAGGCTGGGGGACCTCCAACGATCTCCACAGGGAAGCAGTTACCTTCAACACCCTACCAAGCAAAAGAAGAAAAGAACAACCCCATCAAAACATCCCTGGGGTTTTGGCAAAGGAATCCCTGACAAAAAAACGTGACTGATAACTAGGACAGAACTGAAAACTGGAAGTAAAGTCAATCCCACTGCCCCCCCCAACACACACACACACACACATCATCATCATCATCATCATCACCCGGACCCCCAAGACGCCTGGGAACTAAGGGAAGCGCCCCCAGAAGGGAGCAGCTCAGAAACCCTGACCGGACCTGGCAGTCAAGAACCCTATGGATGGAGGACAGGAACGCCCACTCAGAGGCCAGGAGAGCATGGTCCAGGACCACTAACAAATAGCCTCTAAATGAAACAGAAGAAGGAAGTCAGTGGTAATCGGAACCATTAGGGTGCACCAGGGCATATGGAACATTCAGGGACAGTAAGAAAACATTCCTTCCAGAGACATTTACTAGCACCTCCTGCGCAGGCCCACTGCCAGGCCCAGAATCCCAGAGTTGAACTACGAGACCTGTCTGCCCTAAAGAACTCACAGGTAGGAAAATGAGGCAGAAAAGTGCAGTAGGCTTCCTAACAGGAGCCCACGCAGGGCGCAGTGAGCAGAGAGCAATGCGCAGACCAGTGGTCCGTTCTTGGGGGAAGGAACAGAACAGCTCCTGCTAGACCAGAACTTGAAAATGAATATGGGTTTGACAGGAGGTTAAGCAGGGAAGGTCATGTCTGCTGGTAAATGGATCAGCACAGATGACCTTGTGGTTTAGAGCAGCCTCTGGTGGCTGATAGCCCCAATCCAATCCTGCAACTGCTGCTAGTAAGCTGTGTGGTCTTGACCTTGGGCAAGATACAAGTAAGCCTCGGTTTACTCAACTATAAAATTAGGATAATCATAGTTTCTCCTTTGTAGGAACTATCAAGAGCACACTGTAGTTAAGTACTTAGAAAACAAAGTAAGTACTTAATGAACATCCGCCATTATTATTAAATGTACAAAAACTCCTGAAACGGTTCACACATCCTAACCCATGTTTTAAACATTATTCAGCTCTAATCTGCCAAATATTAAATATGACAGAAGCATGGAGAGGAATATGAAAGTTGTTGGGAAGCCATGGGAGGGTACTATGAGGTACTGTGTTCCTATTACCTTTCTCCCCACCGCCAAGCTCCTGCCTGTGCCATTACCCAAGTCAAATAGAAGCCAATAGGAGGCAAGGGTGCTCAGGCTGCAATCTGTGGCGGTCAGCCTCCCAGGCACACAACAAGGTGAAGGAGGATTGAGAGGAGATCTGGAGGGCCAGGTGGAGAAAATCCAGCAGAGCCCTAACCACTTCCTGCTGTCGCTCATCTCCACATGCTCATCACCCTTGATGGTGTTACAGGTTGACTTGTGTCTCCCCAAATTCATATGTTGAGATCCTAACCCCCAGCATCTCAGAATGTGACCTTATTTGGAAAAAGGATGATTACAGGTGTAATTAGTTAAGATCAGGTTATTAGGGTGGCCTCTAATCCATAATGACTGGTGTCCTTATAAAAAGAGGAAATTTGGAAAGACAAATCCACAGGGAGAACACCACGGGAAGATGGGAGTTGTGCTGCTACAAGCCAAGAAACTGCCAGAAGCCAGGAGAGGGGCCTGGAACAGATCCTTCCCTGCCAACAACCTTGATCTCAGATGTCTAGCTCCCAGAACTGGGAGACAATAAATTTCTGTTGTTTAAGCTACATAGCTTCTCATACTTTGTTACAGCCATCCTAGCAAATTAGTCCAGTTGCTTCTGTAATTCTGCCCACAGCTGTTCAGCAGCAAATCTCTTCAACCTTTCGGAAATGGACTGCATTTCCTACCAAGACCCTGGCTGATAGCAGAGTGACCCCAGGAAACAGTTTTTCAACTGTGGGATTCTGGCTGGGTTACCCACAGATTCGTGCGTGCATAGGGAACAAAAGGGATGCTCATAACCCATGGCATACAGAGGCAGCAGAATTACTCCAGTTAGCGCTGAGAGTAGTGTGAGGGGCAGATGGACCACAAGGCTTTGGGGGCTTTTGCTGCTGTTGCACTTGATTGCTATGGCAACAGTGATAATTATAATGATTGTAGAGTGAAACGGATGTTTCTGACTGCCCTGGAGAGTTTTTAAACAATGGGAAAGATAAGCATGAAGTATTAAATTCTCATTTCAAGGTACAGATACGCTGAAATTCAAAGAACCACTTAACTAGGATAGGCACAGGACAGAAAAGGTTCATCTTCAGATCCTAAATATAATTGTACGAATGACAGAATTGTGGCAAGGTTAGGTACCCAACTTCAGCAAGTTCGTTTGCTAAGATTAGGACACTGATTTGGAACGAATAGGACTGTAGGCTTGTGATAGGAACATTTGGACAGACACAGACAAAGCCAGATTTCCAAATCCCAAGCCTCCCTTGCATACAGAAGCAGCCCCACCTCCCCTGTGCAAGGAAATTAGCCTTCACTTACACTAAGACCTTTCAAGACTTTACTGGGGTCTTTGCCTCCCACCTGGATGGCTGTTTTCCTCCAAACTTACCCCTGGTGCACCTTGTTGACTCTAGGATGATAACAAGAATAAACTCTCTGCAGAGCCCAGAAGGAGAAATCCAAGGTCAGCCAGAGAAGGAAAGGATGGAAATAGATTATATACCACTAAAGCTGGAAAATTTTGCCAAGAGATGTATTGCAAAGAAGCTGAGAACTGTATATGGGAATCGATTCTAAAGTGTTAGACTAAGGGGGATGAACTATCAGGTTAGGCCAGGCATGGTGGCTCACGCCTGTAATCCCAGCACTTTGGAAGGCAGAGACAGGAGAATTGCTTGAGGCCAGGAATTCGAGACCAGCCTCGGCAACACAGTGAGACACCATCTCTACAAAAAATTTAGGAGTTAGCCATGTGTGGTGGCGCATGTATGCCTCTGGTCCCAATTGCTCGAAGACTAAGGTGGAAGGATCTTTTGAGCCTAGGAGGTCAAGGCTGCAGAGAGATATAATGGCACCATTGCATTCCAGCCTGGTGACAGAGCAAGACCCTGACTGGAATAAAGAAAAATATTAGAGTTATTAAAATGTTTTAGAAAATGTGGTGATATTTCTTTTTTTTTTTTTTTTTTTTTTTCAATTGAGATAGAGTCTTGCTCTGTCACCCAGCCTGGAGTTCAGTGGTGCGATCTCAGCTCACTATAACCTCTCCCTCCCAGGTTCAAGCGAGTCTCATGCCTCAGGCTCCTGAGTAGCTGGGATTACAGGCGCCCACCACCACGCCTGGTTAATTTTTTTGTATTTTTAGTAGAGACAGGGTTTCACCATGTTGGCCAGGCTGGTCTTGAACTCCTGACCTCAGGTGATCCACCCACCTCAGCCTTCCAAAGTTCTGGGATTACAGGCATGAGCCACTGCATCCAGCTGATGTTTCTTAATATACTATAAATATACAGAAAATGCCGAATACTTTAAAAGATAAGTTGTAGAAAACAGATTATAATGCACATGACTCTTGTCCAAAGAAATGCGGATAAACTTTGGTCCATAAAGATATCCTATAGAGGCCAGGCGTGGTGGCTCAAGCCTGTAATCCCAGCACTTTGGGAGGCCGAGGCGGGTGGATCACGAGGTCAAGAGATCAAGACCATCCTGGTCAACAAGGTGAAACCCCGTCTCTACTAAAAATACGAAAAGTTAGCTGGGCATGGTGGCACATGCCTGTAATCCCAGCTACTCAGGAGACTGAGACAGGAGAATTGCCTGAACCCAGGAGGCAGAGGTTGCGGTGAGCCGAGATTGAGATCGCGCCATTGCACTCCAGCCTGGGTAACAAGAGCGAAACTCCATCTCAAAAAAAAAAAAAAAAAAGATATCCTATAGAATATTAATTAATTTTGCATCTACTAGCAAATTCACTAACATTCATGTCTGTACCTATGTATCTGTTCTTCGAATTCTCCTTTGAACTAATCTTACCATCTTACTGATTCCCTCATTAATTAATGAGTTGAATAAAATCTTTGATCCATGTTCATTTTATATTTACAATGAGAATCATGCTTTTAACTTTTGGAAATTATACTTTAGCATTAAGAATAAGGGGAATATGATTAGTAGGGTGTTGAAAATATTTTATTGTGTTTAAAGATGGAAAAAGGAGAAGCCAGGGACAGTGGCTCACACCTGTTA